GTAAGCTTTTTTACCGTACATACCACCGCAAAGATGGTTTTCTCCATGTTTGTATATCTCAGCTCCGCCCCTCGTAACACCCGTGCCACATAGTATACTGGTCGCTGTGCGCCCTCCTCCTCCCTCACTAGCACTGAGCTCACAGCTCGAGGAGAGATTCCTAAGTATAAGAATAAGGTCTCTCCGGGCTCTGGCTTCGAAAGCACCAGCGGGGAGAGGAGGTATGCTTTCAACCCTTCAAAGGACCGTTGACATTCTTCGGTCCAGATAAACCCTCTGCTCTTCTTGATGGTCTGAAAGAAAGGAGCCGCTCGATCGGCTATCTTTGACAAGAAGCGACTGAGAGCTGCAATCCTGCCGGTCAGCTGCTGGACCTCCTTCACGTTCCTCGGAGGTTCCATTTCTAAGATTGCTTTCACTTTCTCTGGATTAGGCTCAATTCCCCTCCGACTGACCATGTGTCCTAGGAACTTGCCCCCCTGAACCCCAAATGTACACTTCTTAGGGTTAAGGCGAAGCTGGAACTTCTTCATGATCTTGAACACTCTCTCCAGGTCGCCGGCATGGGACTCAACCCGTCTAGACTTGACAATCATGTCGTCCACATATGCTTCCATGCATCCCCCCAGCACTGGCGCGAACAACTTGTTCACCATCCGTGCATAGGTCGCCCCAGCATTTTTCAAACCAAAGGGCATCACCTTGTAGCAGTACACCCCGTTGGGGGTAATGAAAGCGGTCTTCTCTTCGTCCGCCACGGCAATCTTGATCTGATGGTATCCGCTGAATGCATCCATGAAACTCATCAGCTCACATCCTGCCGTCTCATCAACCAACTGATCAATGTTGGGGAGAGGAAAAGGATCCATCGGGCAGGCTTTATTTAGATCAAAATAATCGACGCACATCCGCCAGGTATTCCCTTTAGGTGCGAGGACTACGTTTGCAAGCCATTCCGGGTAACGGACTTCCCGGATGTGCCCAATGGATTGCAGGGTGGTCACCTGCTTGGTGACAAACTCTCTCCGTTCTGAGGAAAGGAAACGCTTCTTCTGTTTGACCGGCTTGTGGGTCGGATCTACTGCCAATCTATGGCAGTTGATCTTTGGGTCGACCCCTGGCATATCCTCTGGCCCCCAAGCGAATAGCACTTTGAATGCTCGGAGGACCTCCAATAACTGTTCTTTTAATTCAAGCGGTAAGGTTTTTCCTACCTTCACCTTCCGCTCTGGCTCGACCGGGTCCAAAGAAATTTCCTCGACCTCTTCCGCCGGCTCAGCCCGCGGGCGCCCCTCCTCCTTCTGGATTGCAGCGCAGATCGTACTTACATTCTCGTCGACCCGGGCTTGGCTCTTGGTCGCCCTGACATAGCACGACCGTGACAGGCTTTGGTTCCCCTTGGCTACCCCCACTCCTGAGGGAGTGTTGAATTTTAGGCATAGGTGTGCGGGGGAGATCACGCACTCCAGATCCTCCAACCCTGGTCGCCCCAGGATCAAATGGTGTGGACAGTCGAGCTGCACTACCATAAATTCCATGTCGATCTAGAGCCGGTGGGTGCCATCTCCTACCCCAGCCTTCACCGTGATAGTTCCTTCAGCCTCAATGGTATCCCCTGTGAACCCCGATAACGGTGTATGGATTGGTTTCAGGTCGTTTCGGGACAACCCCAACTCCTTAAAGGTGTTGTTGTACATAACGTTGACCGAGCTACCCGTATCGACCAAAGTTCGATGAACAACCACATTATTGATCTCCACCTTTATCACCAGAGCATCCCTATGAGGGCTGAGGACTGGGGGATAATCCTCATCTGTGAAAATCAATGGTTCCTTCTTCTTCCGCTTAGGCAGCGGCGGCCTCTGTACCTCGGCCAGGTACACCATGTTCTTCCATTTCTTCCGGGAGGACACTGAATCTCCTCCCGTGTTTCCCCCCATGATGAACCGACACCCCAGGTGTCGGCGACCTTGCCTTTCCTCTTCATCTAAGTCGTCACAATCTCGTCCTAGGTG